CTAGGTTCTCCAACCAAGTTCTGTAGCCAGGTTCTGTCCAGGATCTTTTGCCATGTTCTCTCCAGCGACGTTCTTCTGTCTCTAGGTTCTGTGTAGGTTCTGTCTTCTAAGTTCTGTGTCTAAAGTTGAATTTTTAAATTTAGCTTGCCAGGACCCATCGCAGACCCTCTACATCAGACCTGGAGTCGGGCATAGGCAGCTGTGTCAACAAACACTCCACCTGACTGTCATGCTTGGGAAGTTTGGGAAATTATGGTAAAGAGAACACTCAATGGACAAACGAAAGAGCTGGAAGGTAGGTTCAGGGAGTAGTTGGAGAGTGGGAAGTGTGTGCTGGAGCCTGTGAGGAGTGTTACCACTAAAGCAGGTCCTCACCAAGCTAAGGAATCCTATGAATAATGGGAACCAGTGGAGGGAGGAAGTGAGCTCTTTGGGGGAAATAACGGGAGAATTGAAGCGTGCAGGCGTGAGAGACATTTCCATGGCACAACTGACAGTTCAGCGGGTGCTTCCCATGGAGAAGTAAGAAAGGAGAGGTGGAAACTGCTCTCCTCAGGGAGGGTCATAGGGCAGGAAGGCATTCCACTTTCCACTGGAGTTTCACATGACAAGTGACACCACGCACCTCACTTAGCCCAACCTCTCCTACGGATGTAAACACAGACCTCCAGGTTGGGAGAAGGTTATTGGGGCTGGGAATATGGGCATGGGAGTCACCGGAACTGTGGGCAACAGGGAGAAGGGCACCAGGTGTTAGGCTTGTGGGGGCAGACCGGGCTGGGTTCGGCAACCTTGGTACTTGAGTTCTGGCTAGAAAAGAACTCAGAGCCAAGACTCAAACTATAAGAGAAAGTTTATTTAGAAAGTCGCAGAGGTAGACGTGAGTGGTAGGAGAAATGGGCTCAGGAAACAAGTTACCGAGGCAAAGGAAGAGGCCTTGGAGTTTAGGAGAGAGGAAGGTCATGGTAATAGGCCCGAGCAGGGGTGGGAGGAAGGGAAGGGGAGGAGAATGGGAAAGGCGACAGTGTGCTCCCCGGAGGGAGAGCGCTGGTCCTCCATCCTAACGGTTTCAAGGTGGATATTTTAGGAGAGGTCCCCGGGGAGCATCTCCATAGACTATGTCACAGCTTTCCAGGTGTGTCCTTTCAGGACCTCAGTCTCCGCTGATTGGTTAGCACCAGGCAGGGGTCCTTAATCAATGCAGCTGGTCCTGGGTCAGGCTTGTCTGGTTTTGCTGCTTTTCTGGGTCCTGAGCTGAAACAACTGAGGCCTAGACGCATCGATGCGGGTCAGAACCTCATTGTCCTGGGGGCTTAATGTGTAAGGGCTACTTTTTGGCTCTCTTTTTCATTCCCCCTGATAAGGGGGGTTCTAACCCACATGACCAGCAGCATGCCAGGGAAGGAAAGGTCAGGGGAGGATCTGAACCATGTGACCAGCAATATGCTCAGGGAGGAAAGGTTATGTTGGGGGCGAGGTCCTTGTTTCCCAGTTTCACCCATTGCTCCACCCGGTGACCTTCTCCCAGGCCCATCACCCTGGCTCTGCTCCTGTCTCTCTAACTGCCTACCACAGAAGCATGGGGACTTCCCTTGTATGAGGATGAAGCTGAGAAAGGGGCCAAGGACAAAAGTGTGGGGAAACAGGCATGTTTAAGTAGCACCTAGAGAAGTCAGTAACGGGGACTAAGTAGAGACGGAAAAGCTCGCAACTGCAATCTTGGCTGTTCTAATTATTTAATACCTATACCCCCAGGCTCAGTGACCTGAAAAAATAAAAAATATTTTCATTATGATAGGACAGATAACATATATATTTGCCACCTAGCTAGAACATTCTAGTAAATTAGAATTTACTTAGTAATTTCGAGTGAACAGTAAAATTTTAGAAAACCTATTGATTGATTGACCCAATCAGCTAAAATAAACATACAAAATCCAGGTAAGGAGGCTGAGATATAGTTAGATGATATCTTGGCTTGCTTCCAGCTCTGATCTAAAGTGTTTCCGGAGATCCAAGAAACTCAGAGATGGATTTATTAAATAGAGTTATTCAAGAGCAAATCCTGAAGTAATGGTACCTATTTCCTAAGCCTACCTTTCCCCCTTCCTCAGTGAGGACTGACTAGGGACAATCCAAGGTCACAGAGCGGGCACTGGGATGCCCAAGGTCATGAAGGGGCGCTTGCTACCTTTCCAGTCCCCATCATGAGTGCAGTTTGATTTGTCATTTATGCACTCTGACTGGCGCCAGGTGTCACATCACTGGGTTACTGGGAATGGCATCCATTTGTGCCTCGCCCAGCCAACCTCTCCTTCCTCTGAACCTGTGAAGTGACTCATCAGGCACGCGGACTCCCGCACCCCAAAGGCCCAAAGGAACCCCGTCTGCAGTGCCTCTGGGCTCTCTAATGAGGGCCTTTACGGTTCCCTACGCACTCAGGAGCTAGAGACTTTTTTCTACCAGGATTTTTAAAAAGGCAAGAAAAAGTAAAAAGAAACCTTTATTTATAAAAGAGCCTAATGTCTTCTTACAAAGGGCATTTACTTTAAACTATATAATCAAGCAGCACAGGTGTAGGGCAAATGAGGAATCGCACAAGCCACGTCGTCTCCTTCACTGGACTCTGGCAAATCCCTGTGCCAGGCACCGTGCTAGTCCCGTTACACTGATCACAACACAACCCTAGTGAGACCCTCCGCGGCGCCGGCGGCAGCGCGAACCCTCCAGCGCGGAAGCTGAGCGTTTCCTTACTGACCATCGTGACGACTCTAGTCCTGGAAAAAGACCGACAAACCGCAAACCCTCAGGACACCCTCAACGCAGCACCTTCGCCGCTTCCGGCCCTGGCCCCGCCCCAGCTGCAGGCTCCGCCCCTGGG